ATTTTCAACCGAGAGAATGGTTATAAACTCAGCAGTCATTGGAAAGATGTCACCAACCACTTTGGGTCATGACTTGATTTGTTTTCTTGTCAACCTCCACCGTCAGCAGTGTGGGTGTGTGGAGCAAGGTGCAATGATTGCCTCTGGGCCCTTTTGGTGGAGACCCACTAACTGCTTAGTTGTTTCCGACATTAACATTAGCTGCCCCGCCCATGCTGCTGACACACTTGGGCTACGCCCATCTCTAAACCTTTATAAACAGTTTGCCTTTAGAGGCTAACCCCCCTTTTCCTGATAACGACCGCTTGTGTTGCGATCGAAATGTCATGGTTTTCGTTTTCATTTTTAAATGTTATTAGATTTTTATTTTATTCAGATTAGAACAAGGCTCCAGTCTACATTATAGACTGCCAGTACGCTCACTCAGTTTAATAACAATTGCTACAGTCTACATCATAGACTGCCAGTATGCTCACCAGCTTAAAAAATAGGCTGCAGTCTACATTATAGACTGCCAGTACACTCACCGAGGTTAATGACCAGCCTACAGTCTACATTATCGACTGCCAGTACGCTTACCGAAGTTAAGAACCAGGCTTCAGTCTACATTATAGACTGCCAGTACACTCACCCAGCTTAATAACCATTGCTACATTATAGACTGTCAATACACTCCGATTTAGAACCAGGCTACAGTCTACATTAGTGTTTTTTTTTTTAAAAATGTTATTTTTATTCACTTTATTTTTATTATTCTTTTTCTATCTACGTGACTTTACCAAAATAACCAAAGAAATACCTTTAGATCTTGCTCTGATATTGCATAATGAGGCGAGCTCCGAGCCAATCCTACGCACTAGATAAGTTGTTCTTAACCTGGGGTGCGCGCACTCCCTGGGGGTGCGAGATGCCCTTTCTGGGGGTGCGAGACATGGCCAGATTTTTTTGAGAATGTAAATCATCGAAACACAAACTATGTCGTTTATTGTGAAATTTCGGTCACAGTTCCTATGATCACTGTTACATTGCTTTTATGGCTTTATTTTGGTGATTTCTAAAAGGTTTTTTGGGTTTCGCCATATTTTTTTGTTGTAGTACGGAGTTAGACTGATGGCCTTAATCTAAGTTGTCTTGTTGTTTGACTTGCATCCCACTGGGATTTTTGCACAGAGCGTTGGTGTACAGTGCTTTTTCTGGAATATTTTTTCTGTTTTTTCTTGGATTTTTCTGTTTGCGCATCGTCACTTTAAGATGTTTTCTTGTTCTTGTTTATTGTTTGTTGCGGTTGCACCCGATTCAAGAGCCGAATGGCTCACAGGGCTATAACCTAATAAATAAACTGAAACTGAAGCATGGGCACGTAAGCACAACTACTTTGTTTAATTAAAACCTATGTGTTTATTAACATTACATAATGTTTAACGACTGAGAACCAAAGGGGCCCAAGGTTGCAGTGAAGGTTAATAACCACTCCACGAGGCGAATCACTCCTGTGATGTGTGTATGTTGAACTTCTTTCGCACCGCACGTAGCCAACCGTGCTAATCGGCAGTGAGGCGCAAGCACAAATAAAAAGGACTCTCCACGTTCTTCTGTAACACTGCCATGAAATGAAAACATACCACATGAAGGGTCATTGCCCGAAACATCGCCCATGGTATTATTTTCAAAAGACCACGATGTTATTTGACTGCACACTAGAGGACGCTGTAGGTCCTGTGTATATGACTCGCGTTTCCCATCCTCCAGACTCACAGCCCCAAACATCGCGACGTTTTTTAAAAAAAATATTCACCACTCTTCATGAAAGTTTAACAAATGCTTTGGTGATTCAGCTGCACTGGCAGTGGTGCACAAGCACATATAACAACAACAACAACAACAAGACATCAACACTTTCGTCAATAACAGTGTGGCCTTAAAAGGAAAAAAAACATTTGATGAGAAATGTTTCGGGCAATGGCCCCGCTCAAGTGGAGAAGCCAGCGAGGTAGAGTGGATACAAACATCTTTACGCCATGGCGACTGATGAGAATTAATTCGAATGAAATCGTTACGCGCTGCACGCGCCCGCCTGATGATTGCGAACGGGTGAAATAATGTTACCCAGGAAACACAGAGACAAAGATTCCCCGTATAGCCGTGACAGATTGTTGGGGCAAGGACTGTTAGCGAGCACTTGTGAAGGTTTGGCCAGCACCACGCCCGACCATATCTTCCCAGTGGCGATGTTTACATAATTTGATGCTGAGTCGACCTAAATGAGGCCCAGAGCCGACTCAGATAATCGCTACTGGTGTTAGCCATGAGCGGGCATCGAACTCGGGTCGCCGGGGATATACATGGTGCTTATTAAAACACGTTAACACTTATATGGGACTATCGTTTTTAATGGGAAAAAAACGGACACTACACTGTAACATGAAAACAAACGTATGATAATAGCTTCAAAAAGTCAAAGAGTCTCCCACGTGTTCGTCATCGTTGTCAACACGTGGCCTGGAATCTTCTCCCGGTGGTCTCCAGAGCTCGGAGGCAGCAGCGCATGTCACGTGGTGTTGTTGCATATTCTCAGAAGTGTTAACATTTTTTTTAAGGACCCCGTGTGTATGTGTGTGTATACACACGCAAGATGTGTGGTAATTTGAATAAGTGGGACGCGTACACGTGTAGAGGTGTTAACTACTCACTGTTCGGTACCCTGCATTGCCACTAGGTATCAAAGGGGCAGTGCAGCATTACCTCTCTGTGTACATAACGGTTGGGGTCAGACGAGGCGAAGTGGATCGTAGCCACAGTTTGGTAAGAACCAATCAGACAGTTCACGTGGGAATGTAGGATTGGTTACACCTGGCCACAAACGGGTATAAGAAGGGTGAGCGCGCAGAGCGCGGGGAGTTCTCTCCCTACACGAAGACTGAAGCCCGGGCTGAAGATAGCCAGGACCCTGGACCCGGCCTTCCAGCCCTTCTGAAGGCTAAGGCTCGGCATATCCAGTGGTCAAGACCCACCGGGCTAGCGGTGGGTCAGATAGCCTCCCCTAGGTCCCAGCCGAAGGACTCTCGGATAGCGGTAGACGTGTGAGTAAGTCCCGCCAGGACAGGAGGCTGTACCTCCTTAGGTTAGGAAGAGAGCTGTTTGTAGGTCACGCTAAGTCCGGAGGCTGTACCTCCTTAGGGTATCAGGTGAGGGGACCGTATACCCCTCTGTGTGTTAAGGACTGTGTAAGAGAAGTATTACAATAAACAGTGTGCCTCATCAGAAGTTTATTCGTCATTATAAACACTACACACGCACAATAGCTCAGGGGTCCTCTCTACGTCACGAGGGACAAGCCAAAGATCCCCCGTATAGCCTTCAACAGACTGTTGGGCAAGTGCTGTTAGCGAGCGCCGATGAAGGTCGGGACCGCACACGAGGGGGTTGTTGTGGCCCAACACCACGCCCGGCCGCCTTTGTACCTCCAATTCTGACATTTACACACCGCACTGGGTACCCATTTAAGGCTGAGTCGACCTAGGAGAGCTCTGATACTTGGTTCATAGATATGTATGGCCACTGTTATAGGTCGCGAGCGGGAAATTGAACTAGGGCCGGCGGCTTTCGTAGGCGCAATGCGCTAACCACTGCGCCACCACTCCCCCCCCCCCCACACACGAGGTTAGGGGCCGTCCATAAATGACGTCACGCACCAGGGGGGGGGGGTCAGACATTTGTGAAGGTTTGTGACGATGGGGAGGGGGGGTTGAGAAATGTGACGTCACATAAAAATGCGCAACTTTAAATAAATATAGACAACACGTTCTACTTAATTAAATAGACTTTTTCATAAATGTTTTCTCATACAACATCAGAGTGCAGCGCCACATTAAATACGCACTACAATGACAATAGTTTAAAGCGATTTGAAGCATGTTCGATTTTGGGGGGGAGGGGGGGGGCAGAGCTTTGTGACGTCATATTTGAGGGGGGGTCTCACTTTTTGTGACGCCGTGTGACGAAAGGGAGGGGGGGGTCAAAAATCGTCCAAAATCGCGTGACGTCATTTACGGACGGCCCCATTGGGGAAGCTCTCATCTAGCGGTGGATTGACAGACGGCTGTGAACCGAACACGGTATTTCCTGAATGCAACTAGAAGCCGCTCTGCACCCTTCCAAACTACGGCAGTACTGCAGTGTGTCTCCAGGGACTCCTCTACTTACGTACGAGTTGGGTTCTAGAGGTGTGTTCGGAAGTCGATTTGTTCCTAAGTCCAAGGACTTTACTTCTGTCGATTCAAACACGTTGTACGGCATGTACACTAAACACGGGTTGTAGTTTTAAAAGTTGTACAATCTCCTGCAGATGTAAGATGCCACTGGTTCTTCACGTTCTGCGGATGTAGATGCCACTGGTTCTTCATGTTCTGCGGATGTAGATGCCACTGGTTCTTCATCTTCTGCTGCTGTAGATGCCACTGGTTCTTCACGTTCTGCAGATGTAGATGCCACTGGTTCTTCATGTTCTGCAGATGTAAGATGCCACTGGTTCTTCACGTTCTGCAGATGTAGATGCCACTGGTTCTTCATGTTCTGTAGATGTAGATGCCACTGGTTCTTCATGTTCTGTAGATGTAGATGCCACTGGTTCTTCATGTTCTGCAGATGTAGTTGCCACTGGTTCTTCATGTTCTGTAGATGTAGATGCCACTGGTTCTTCATGTTCTGTAGATGTAGATGCCACTGGTTCTTCATGTTCTGTAGATGTAGATGCCACTGGTTCTTCATGTTCTGTAGATGTAGATGCCACTGGTTCTTCATGTTCTGTAGATGTAGATGCCACTGGTTCTTCACGTTCTGCAGATGTAGGACAGGCAACTGGACATACGGACCAGATGTGCTCGTATCTCTGAAAGTTCGTAAGTCGAATGGTCGTAAATAGAGGAGCCCCCGTATTGTATACAGAATCACAGGTTAAAGGCGCAGCCCTGCAATAGCCGGCTCACGCCACTGCTGGCTGAAAGGGCCTCAACTCACCGCCACCCCCACCCGCTCAAGCCACCCACTCCGTCCCCAAGCGGGTGATGTCATTGACATCTCCGTGGCGTCGTGCGCGGGAGTTGCCACCCCACAGGGGGCGTGCGCTCACCAATGAGCGAGCTCCTCTGACCACGTGGAGAGGCAATCCGTGGTGATGATGGGGGGGAGGGGGGTCCAAGATACCAAGATAAAGGAGAGAGAGACACGCGCTCGCACATCCCGATAAACGGGCACACCTGCGTCTCGGCGCTGCGTGGCGTTTCACCTCTGTTGCACACGTGCTCGGCAAGCACCATCTCGTTCCTGCTGGAGCTCACCTCTCGCGCTGATGGCAGAGAAAGCTGTTGTTGCTGCTGCTCAGAGAAACATCGACAGTTGGCGACCGAGACAACACGGGCAGAGCCGTTTCTCCTAAACACAGGTAAACTCGCGCGGGCGCTCTCTCCTGTACACAGATAATGATGTACGCGGTACTGTTTGCACATAACGAAGGCCATGCGTTTTTCAGCCGTGAATTATCCACAATGCCGAAAGGCCTTCCCAAAGCCACCGCCATCTCTCACGGTCCTACGGCGCAACAATCCATGAGGCACTCCTCATAGACGCTCATCTGTGCACAGGTAACACCACACGTAGGTCACCTGTAGTAGGCTATATAGATGCTCACATGTGTGCAATTAATTCTACAGGCGCTCACCTGTGCACATTTAAAAAAGGGCAAATGGCACGCTCACCTGCTGTGAACAGGTAAAGCTTCACATGGGCGTTCGTCTGTGTACAGGTGAACTCTTACACTCACTAATACAACTACAATATAACGCCGTATACAGGTAACCCCATCATATAGAGCTCGCCTGTACACGGGTAAACCACAACATAGCGCACTTGTGTACCTGTAAACTACAGACATTCACCTCTATAAGTGTGGCATTATTGGTGTTGTCGTTTAGTGTTTGTGCGAAGCCGCTCGTGTTGAATAGCCACCACGGTGATGGTCTAAAACTGACCACTCCTGTGCTGTGTGCCGACTGCCTCGGAACGTTAATCGTGCAGACGCGCTGGATTATGTTAAACCGTAAGTAAACACGGCATGCTGTCTTTTATTCGGAAGTGCTTTAATTAGTTGAACGGAAGCCTTCGAGTAACTGTCCGGGAAAATCGCGATTGCATATTTGCAAATATAGTATTGTGCTGAAGTGCTATTTTGCTCTGGTTTAGTCTCCAAAGTTTCGCGCAAGACTATAATCAATGTGGCCGGTGTTTTGTCGGAGCAATTCCTTATAGCAACGCAACTTTGCGCTGCAGTTTAGAGCATTTTGGGTAAATTTCACCAAACCCAAACAATATTTTACCGGGTAAGTCCCCACTGAGCGAAATAGCTCTTTTTCAAAAGCGACAGCCGTAAATGGTATCTCAACTTTGTGGCTTATGTGGAAATTTATAGCAGCCGCATTGTCTAAACGCATGTTATACATGTGGGGGGTGGGGGGGGGGGGAACCCGAGGACCTGGAGAAAAATCCACGCGCATAGGGGAAGAACATGCAGACTCCTAATATACAGACGTCGGAGTCAGGATCGAACACACGACTTCCTGTATAGCAGGCGAGGGAGTTAACATCTTTCCATCTTGGCTCCCAACAGACAAACACAAACTGAAAAGCACGGAGAGATGATTGCTTGGAGTTGCATTCAGAGACGGTAATAGGAACGTGTGGATTTGAACCAACGACCTCCTATATACCAGGCGAAGGTAGTTAACATCTCGCCATAGAAAACTGTTCCCAAACTTTGGTTTCTAGACCTGAGGGCAAAACCTCTGATCTGACAATAGACTTACCCGTGTCATGGGTGGAGTCGTGAAATGGAGATTGTGCGGTTTGAGATGCAGCCAAATGTCTATACCCATCATCATCGGCAGCACGAGCCATGATCTATCCACTGCCGGATGAGTGCACGCCACTTGTGGTGTTTTCATATTGCTCCCCCAAGTCTGGATTCGAGAATCTCTATCAATATTTTCATTGTAACCATTAACCTCGTGCTTTTACCTGAGCTATATTAAATTACGATTTCCACTTTTTTGCAACCGCTTACCTGTGGTAAATTTCCAATTACCCCGGTTTAGTTTCACCTTAATAGATGTATTTATACGGTAGTGTAATTAAACTGCTCCCTTCGGATATTGTCGGGTTAATGTTGTGAAACCAGGTGAGAACACAAGAGACCAGAATCGAGTCTCATTTGCAAAAGCGACCTTTGGGGGTGGTCTGCCAGGGAGAGGACGATGATTGCTGCAGCTGTGTGTAGGGGCGCCACGGTGGCTAGGAGATGTTAACAACCTCGCCTGGTATACAGGAGGTTGTGGATTCGATCCCGACCCTGGCGCCTGCTGCTGTATATTTGGAGTTTGCGTGTCTCTCTCCCCGTGGTTGCGTGAATTTTTCTCCGGGTCCTCCGGTTTTCCCCTCCACATTTTAGAAACGTACATTTAGGGTATTTGGCTGCTATACATTTCCACATGATGAGCCACTCCGTTAAGCTATCGTTTGCGGCCAGGTCGCTTCTGAAAAAGAGCTACATATCTCAGTGGGTCTAACTGGTAGAAAAAAGAAGTAAGTGTAAATAATCTCAATTGAGTGAAGCCACGACACCCAACAATAGTTTATCCACTGCTTGATGAATGTCTCCCCACATTTTAGTTTTGACCTTGGTCCACCTTCAATGACTTTCCTCACCCAAAAATGTCTCGAAACATATAAATGATATACAAAAACAACACGTAAAACATGTAACAGTTACCCTGAGATGCAATAAAGTAAAAGTCCAAATCTGAAGAGGAGCCAGGCAAGGAGATCGGGTCTCACCAAACCTATACCACAGAGAGAGTGGAATATAATTTCTTACAATTATATTTCAGAAATGAGGGCACACAAATAAACGTCACTAGCATGAGTTGTCCTCTCAGATTCGCTGATGGTAGCCATTATAATGAGCAATTTGTAATGAACTATGGGAAACGATTGAAGCACTTGATAGAGAAGGCTGCCTCGCGAGGCTACGGATAAATACGACCAAAACAAAGTCGTATACAACAAGATTTGGTTGAACGAATGGGGAAAAATAACCTTTTGTCGGAGGGACACAATCACTAATCACAATTACTTAAGTTTAGTTTCCATTGACCTTGGTTATTTAACATCCAATGACCTCTTTTGATAATTGGTGCTGAAATCTTCCTGGAAATATTTTTTTTCCCTTCTGCTTTTTTGGTGTTGGAAGAGTATTACTTGCTTGTTATTTTCTTAATTCATTCTATTCTTCTGTATAATGGCAATGTGGAGGTCTGCTATGTATGTTTGTCAAACCCTTTTCGAAACGTACGTAGCCCAAACGTGCTAATCAGAGGAGCGGGGAAATAACTAAACGCACAACCACGACGAGAGGGTTATAGCAGAGAAAGTTCGCGTGGTTTTGCTGTTCCTCCTCCATTGACGGCGCGCAAACTACAAGGGGTTTAATGTTTGGCCTGTAGTTTGGGTTGCATGACCACAATCGCCTTGAATTATCCCCTTATTTCCCCATCGACTAACTGTGGCATACCGTTTACACTGCTGGGTTGACGGTGGAGGAGGAGGTGGAGAGGAATTCAGAAACCTGTCCCCTTTTATTCACCGGCGGATCGATTTGAAGCGGCGATGCTCAATGGCTCGCAACTAAAGAGCGCCGACTGACCATTCCACCGTGGCAGGTGTACGTGGAAGTAATGCCGACGGAGGCTGGGTTGAAAGGCACGCGTGCGAATGTGTGCTCCTCGGCTCGCGAGTTGATTTTGTACCGAGATGCCTTTGTTGTCGAGAGGGAAACCTGCACACGGAGACCTGGGGCCTCTTACAGTTTTGCAGGTCGGTGTCTGTTACTCATTGATCTGGCCAGGGATTAAAGTTTACGCTGAACCAGGGTGAGCAGGCGGGGGGGGGGTGATTGTGGTTAGAACACGGGGTTGCTCATGGGGTGAGAGAATGTGGTGGAAATAAAAGTGGGGGGGGGGGGGGTGGCACGGGTTCATCGTGGTCGCTGCCTGCTCAGCAGATCGCTCGTGTGACATAAATAGATGGAGCCGGCCCTGGCTTTGTTTTGATTCATTCCGGCTTTGATGTTGGCAAGGTGCAAATCGGGCAGCGGCTTACACGGTGGAGGCGACAGCATTGGCAGAGCACGGAGAGCAGAGCTGGCTTCTGCTCTGCTCGGCGTCGGTGCGACTGGTAATATAGTTCGAGAATCAGGTGACGAAAATATTCCTCGCGACACGTGTTTTTTGTGTTTTTTTTAATTTCATGTTCACCAGCGATGCTGATGAGTGGATGAGAAAGGTCAAACGTGTGACGGTGACTACGACTACTTGCGAAGCCCCAGAGCCAATCACGGCCGACTGTGATCGTAGAATCATAAAACGGAGATCGGAGCACGAATGAGTTTGACGAAACTAACGATTCTGAGTGAAGACTCGGACTGAGATCGTCCGGATGAGTTCACTTATTAGACCGACCTGATTAACATTGGATGTGGGGGGGGGGGGTGAAGGTGGGGGATTAATCCCCCCACCTCCCCCCACCCACCTTGCACCAACATTCAATAACGGAGCGGACTTAATGCTTGACCGCTTTTGTGAACTAGTTTTAAAAAAAAAAAACGACGACTAACCTCTCCACGTGCTGTCGTCGACGAAGCACCGAAGCTCGGACCGGGCTCTTGGCCTTCATCGTAGAGCCGAGCGTCTCGTCTCTCTCGGCAGCGTTCCCATTGGCCTCGAGCCACCGGGGAACATCAGGGAATGAATGAGTCTGACGCCAGTTCGTGTTTTCTCCACCACTGGCGAGCGGCGAAGGTTAGCACGGTGGTGTGGTGTGAGGGGGGGGCAGTGGCTTGAGTTTGCGGTCACTGTGCTTGAAGGGCGGCCGAGCCGCTTGAAGGGTGATCCGCCACGTGGACCGCTTTACCGATCCGAGTCGGGGGGGGTAGGTAAAGCGTGTTGCGGGTTTCGGATTGTTGACGAATTAACTAAACCATTTCGGCGTGAAGGGGGATGCTGCCATGGTGTAAAGGATGCTGCACGCGACTTGCAGTCGAGAGATTGGCTCGGTTCGATCTGATCTCAGTGCCTCCTTTAATTTTGAAGGTATAAGACACGGTGAGTCTGGGTTTATGCGTCCGTTGGGCCCATGTGGCTGACCATGTGAGTGCAATCGCTGGACATGGCTAACATCGGTGCTAAGTGATATCTAAACCGGTCCTGGGTCTTTCTGTGGGTTGACTGCCTCAAATGAGTACCTGGCATAGTGTAAATGTTGCCACTAGGGAGACAAAGGCGGCCGGCCGTGTTGCTGGCCATTTTTTTTGTTTGTTGTGGTTGCATCCGATTCAAGAGCCGAATGGCTCACAGGGCTACACCAAAATAAATAAACTGAAAACTGAAATCTACCCCCTTGTCTGCCATGCTGACCTTCATAGGTGCTCACTAACAGCATTTACCCCAACAGCTTGTTAAGGCTATACGGGGGAATATTTCTCTTTTGTGTGTGCCTGCGTGTGTGTGTATCTGTGTGGAAAGTAGTTTTGGAACCTGCCTTAAGTCCCCTTTTCAGTTTACTCGGCCTTTATTGAGCACTTGGTATAGCGTGTGACCGTCAGCACTTGGGAGACTAAGGTGGCAAGACGTGGTTATTGGCCACACCACCTCTCGTGTGCCATGCCAGCATGATGAGGCGCTTGCTGACAGCACTTGCCTTGGCTATGTGTCGGTCAGCTGGGGATTTGTGCATTGTGGTTCCAGCAAACGCAAACTCGGTCTGGAAAATACCTGTCGCATGGACGCAACTGGAAAAAAACACAGGCGGATGTTTGCACCTCGAGCGGCTATTGAAGGATGAATAGAGTTCAAAACGATGAGATTAAGAGGGGGCTGCCAATGGTCAGGGTACGGAGCTACCGAGTGGTGGCCAAATGGAGGGGGGTTAAGCGCCAAAGGGGGGGGGGGGGGTGGGGGGATGCCTGCCGTGCAAATGGAACGTTGAGATCGGCTCGGGTGCAGGCGCCGGGTGGATCGTTATTGCATTGCGGGACTCGAGGATGATGACATTTGTGGAAGCTTTCATCCGGGCAGTGGATTGCTCTCGGTTGTTGATGACAAATGATGACTGTCTACCGAAAACGTTTGTGTGTGTACGTTGTGCATCTCTGTGCCGCTGTGCACACGCATTGGATTTTGTTCCATTTGCTACTTGGTTAATTGTACTTGGTGAATTGTAAATTGAGGCTAAGCATAGAGTGCATAGCGCCACGGTGGCAGGATGTTTAAACCTCGCCTGGAAAACAAGAAGGCGTGAGTTCGATCCTGACTCCTGTATATTTGGAGTCTGCATGTTCTCCCCGTGGTTGCGTGGATTTTTTTCCAGGTTCTGGTTTTTCCCTCCACATTAGATTAAACGTGCGTTTACAGTATTTGGCTGCTGTACATTTCCAGATAAGCCACTTAGTTTAGCAATCGTTTGTGGTTAGGTCGCTTCTGAAAAAGAGCTCTATTGCTCAGTGGTCTTTACCTGGTAAAATAAATCTATGTTTTTAATATAAAAGAGTTTATAGGTGGCTGTGTGGGCAGCGTTACAAAATAATTTGTTGTATTTTATATGCTCCCCTGCCTTGCCTAACCCATACTACTATCGTGGTGAAGTGTGCACTGACCAGCATGGCGCAGAGACGCACTTGTCCAGCGTTTCATTGACAAAAGGGCTGTAGATGTATATCCATACGTGCCTGTGTGTGTAAGGGGGAGCGGAGCGCCGGGCAGCTAAAACACAGTCAGTTGGCACAGCTGGTGCATCTGCCAGCCATGCCAGTCGGCCAACCCATGGCACCTGGGTCTGTCCCATGACCTCCTACCAGCGGGCCTTCGACACTTCACGTGGCTTTAAAGTGCACGTAGCCTGGCACAAGCGCCCTGGTGACGTCACCGCCACTCGGTGGCGAATGGCTGTTGTTGAGGGAGCGTTAGGGTAGCGGTTACCGCGCTGCGCTACAAACCCAGCGACTCGAGTTCGATTCCCACTCGCGGTCAACACCAGTGACGATTATCTGAACCACCCCAACCTCGGCCTCAAATGAGCAACCTGGTGCAGTGCGCAAATATTGTCACTCGGGAGACGAATGCAGCCAGGTGCAGTGCTGGCCACACACCTCTTCATATGATGTGCCGGCCTTCATAGGTGCTCGCTCGCAACACTTGCTCCTCCAATCTGTGAAGGTTACATGGGGGATCTTTGTCTTTGTGTGCCTGTGTCTCCTTTTTTGTCCACAGATCTTTCCCGCCACCAAGCCTGGCTCGACTGGGAGTTGAGGAATTGGCCGCGGATCGCACGGAGTTGACGCCGGGCTTTTCTCTGACGCCAGACCGATGATCGCACTCCCACCGAACACAACCCAAAACCCATAGCACTTTCGGGTGCCCTATTAACACACAGGCACACACCAGGCACACACCACTACACAATCGCACGCTACGCCAGAGCTCGCCGAAACTCAACATTGATTCGCATAACCCAGCGGTTGCGTTATTTCTGATCAAAAGCGCTCCACTATAGCGATACAATATAAATACGATCAAGGTGCAGGCCTGCAATTCCTCGCTTGTGCCACTGCAGGCGGAACAGCCTCCACCAGAGGGAGCTCTGGAGAGCCCCCACCCTACCCCACACCCCTCGAGTGTGTAATTAACTCTACTTGCTTCAATTGTAGGAACGATAATGAGTGACCCTCAGGATGAGTTCGGCTGCTCCCTGGCGGAGCTGCGCTCCCTCATGGAGCTCCGCGGTGGGGACGCGGTGGGGCGCATCGTGAAGGAGTACAGGCGGCACGAGGTGGGCGGCGGCGGCGGCGGCAATGACGACGACGCCGCAGCGGTGCAGGGAGCGGCGGAGCTGTGCCGACGGCTGCGGACGTCGCCCACGGACGGTGAGGTTGACGCGGGCGGACGGGGGGGGGGGGGCGGTCGCGAATGATGCCGCCACACGCTTGCCACCACGAAAGACGGAGATCACCCGTAAAGCTTTTAACAGACTGTTGGGGGCAAGTGCTGTTCGCATAGGGAGCATCTATGAGAGGGACGGCACGGTACGCATGGGGGTGGGTGCCCAGAACCACGCCCGGCCGCCTTTGTCTCCCCAGTGGCGATGTTTACACATTGTACCAGGTACTCATTTGAGGCTGGTCGTCCTAGAGCAGGCCCAGGACTGATTCGGATAATTGTCACTGGTGTTGGCCGTGAGCGGGAATCGAACTCTGGTCGGCGGATTTGTTGCGCAGTGTGTTAACCGCTACACTACCACTCGGCACCACCACAACCACACACACACACGTGCGCGTGTTGCTGCACACATCATCGCACGCACGCCGCCACTTTACACTTGCCACCACACGCCGAGTTTCGCGCACGCACACACGCCATCGCTCCATATTCAAAAGACAAAGATCCCCCGTGTAGGCGCTTGTAAAGATGAAGATGTATTCAGCCTTCTTACGCATGGGAGGGAACCTAAATCCCTGGAAACCCCCCCCCCCCCCACCCGTGTGAGGGGGCAGCGCTCGATCCCTCTACAGATAGGACGGACGATATTAGTTCACATTTGCCGTGCCGCCCTTCGCCTGGCGAGCCAGAGTACGGTACCTCGACGGCCACATGGAGGGAGTTGGCAACATTCGTGCGATCCACCAGCCCTTGCCCCTACGGCGCTCGGTTACATGCTCATGCAACCACCGCCGTGTTGACTGGTCCCTCGGTCGCCATTTATTGCCCTTTCGCGATTTTTCTCATTGGCACGGTGTGTATTCCAGACTGCCAAATGGGGGCCAATATAAATGTACTGTTATCTCGGTGGCTAGGGGGTAGACTGCTCAAGGCTGTGGTGGTCGGGGTACGTGATCCGGTGTGTGGACCCACCCAGCCGCTATGTTTATTTGAACAAACAAAAAAATGCTTATCGGAATGCACGTTTCATTGACGCCGTCGATAGCGAGGAGTCCCGATGGCTCGGAGGTCGGAGCGCTGAGCCCGGCACCGCAGAGATCTTGCTATTCCAATCCGGGTTTCGGCCAATCTTTTTTTTTTTTACAAACCAGGCTTTGCAAGTGCAGTGATTTGATGTTCCCAGCCCCGATCACCAATGATTGCATGGAAAAGTGTGTGGACATTCTGCAACTTAATTTGGCTAATTACCGGTAAGTGAGAATGAATAAAGATCTGATTGATGTTTTACACACCTGCCTGTAGCAGGGTGAGTGGGAACGTACTGCCCCCCGACTGTGTGAGAACCAGGGGTCGCTGAACAGATCTCCGCAGTAGCTCTGTAGTATCTGCTTCCGTGGGCCGTTCCAACACTGCCCTGCAAAGGATCGGAATGGACGCTTCGTCCCGTTACATGACACCACTTGCACAATCGGAATAACAAAAAGTTACGAAAGGGGTAAGCTTTTTTTAATGTTTGTGATGAACACTGCTGGTGGTGCTTCCCTTCTGAAGATGTCTATCCTGGAGTGTTGTTACTCCGACAACCACATGGTAATGTGGTCGCACAGAATTCCATTGCTGTGGAATCACCCATAAGAATATCCATCCTCTATTCCAGTGACCGTTTCCTGCCCCAAGGGCACTTGTTCACAATGTTTCTCTAATCCACTCCCTATCTCTCGGTAATTTCAAGCACTCACCGTCTCTCCACGCTGCTTAGTGCAGTTTTCAGCTTTCGGTGTTGGATTTTTCCATAATAAATCCACGTTTGCTATCCGTACGATCGGTCGTTCCTCTTTCATTATGATTCTTTTCTTGAATGCTTTACGAACTTTTTAATTGTTGGCTGGCAGTTTGGCGATTTGCTCAACTTGTGCTTGCACATCACTTCTAGCACGGTCTCCGAACTCTCTTTTCGAATTTATTATAATTCTAAGGGTACCACGGTGGCGAGATGTTAACTACCTCGCCTGGTATACAGGAGGGTCGTGGTTTCGAACCAGACCCTGACACCTGCTGCTGCATATTTGGAGTTTGTATGTTCTCCCCGTGGTCGCGTGGATTTTTCTCCAGGTGCTCCCTCCATAATTAGAAACATGCATTTAGAGTATTCGGCTCGTATGAATTTCCACATGATAAGCCACCATGTTGAGCTATCATTTGTGGCCAGCTAAGGCCCACTGCGATGTATAGTTCGGTAAAATAAAATAAAAAATATATCATTACTTGCATTGTTTAGTGCACGGAGAGATTCGTGGATTACAAATCCTAAAAGTGACGTCCTGCTCAATTGAGCCTCGATGCCGGTGCTCCTCTCCTCCAGTTTACAGCGCCAGTGGTTGTAAATTCCACATTCTCAATGCAGGAGCGAGTCTATCCGTAGGCTGCCACAACGTGGTGCTCATTTTATCAACCCCAAAGGGATGTTGTTTGTTGTCATAACGTTCTGACCTGCCCGGAATGAACGTCTGTGAAAAAGAGCTTTATAGCTCGTTGGATTACTCTGGTATTCTGAATCCCCGATCTTCACCTTGGTGAGTGGGGGGGGGGGGGGGGGGGGGGGGGGGGGGTGAGCACCAGGTGATGCACTCATCGGCCTTGGATTTTGCACCTTTCCATAAAGTGTCACATTTTCTCGGAAAATATCACCTCGTGAAGATGCGCAGCAACAAAAAAAAGTGATTTATAAACTGGGCCATAAAAAAACCCTTTGTTTTCCACTATCACGATATGCGCGCAGTTTGTACCGACTTTAAAACGTTCTGTCCGCAGTTTGACTTTATTATTCCTGTTGATTGCATGAATGTTACTTCTTTATCTACGCTTGTTAACCCAAAAATCCTGTATTATGGAGATATGGATCGGCAGTTGTGTCAAAATTGCAATCTGCCTCCCTGTGTGCGTTATAAAACTACCCCTGTTGTGATTGCCTGCCGTTTATGATTATCTCCGGAGTTTGTATTGCTAGGCTCCCTGGCTTGCCATCTCTCTCTCTCTCTGTGTATGATGAGAGCTCGGTAAAAAAACACAAAGGCATGGCTTGAGAGAGCGAGATGTGTGCTCACCATTCGGTCCACTCGCGGTGAAAACCGTCCACACGTCGATCGCGACTGACTGCATCGATCGGCCTAAAATCGTCCCAGTTTTCTTGGAGCCCCACAGTTTATGAAGTGTGATCTCCATCTACAACTCGGGCCCCATCTATCTGTCCTCCCTCTTCCCGCTCCTGAAGAAGGGACATGGCCCAATGTACACGTGTGTGGGGAGTGGTAGTGCAGTGCTTAGCGAGCTGCACTACGAACCCGGTGACCCAAGCGATTCTGGCTCACGACCAACACCAGTGCCGGTCTTGGGCCTCCCCAAGGTCTACTCGGCCTCAAATGAATACCTGACGCGGTGTGGAAACATCACCACTGGAGAGACAAAGGCGGCCGGGCGCGGTGATGGCCAACCACCCCCTTGTGTGCCGTTCCGGCCTTAATAGGTGCTTTATAACAGCACTTGCCCCAACAGTCTGTTAAGGCTAAACGGGGGATCTTTGTCTTTGTATGCATGTTGAAATAATTTCACACCATACGTAGCCAACCATGCTAATTGGAGGTCTGGTGGGAAAGGACGATAAACTAAACACAAAAAGTAATTTTTATTAAATGAGTTTTTGCAATCTAGAATACGTCAGCCCGTTTTGGACTTGTTTTGTATTAAGAGGCAGTGGTCACGGTGAATGTGCAGAATTATTACATTGAACTTGTCGGCGAGCTACAGCCGATGATGATGATGACCGACAGGCCTTTCGGGGGATCCCGAGGACCTGGAGTGGAGGCGGAAAACTTTTGGACGGAACCACATCCCGCCCAAGAAGCCCAAGTCGTTCGTGGCGCTGGTGTGGCATGCTCTGCAGGACGTGACGCTCATAATCCTGGAGGTGGCTGCGGTCGTCTCCCTCGGCCTCTCCTTCTACCGGCCACCCGAGGGCGAGAACACGGAATGTGAGAGGCCACCAGACATCTCCCGGATGGGACTGCCAGCGGTCCCAAAATGGAATGGAATTTTGCGACCATTTGCCAAGTACTCGAGCTTAGTAAACCTATACGTTATCCTCAATACACACCTGGAACGGCTGCTAAAATCTGCGTAACGGCTTCGTGTCGTAAAGGGCGATCCGATTTTTGTCACTCGTCGTGTCGGCGACATTCTGTCGCTGGGAAGACTCAGTCGCCCGATCTAGTGGGGACGGGGGGGGGGTGAAATAAATCCCCGAGTTGGCAACACCGCTCGCCAAGACGGGAGAGTCGGACAACATGGCTTGGGCGTGTCCCTGCCTGTGCTGTCTGAGACCGGGCGAGTCTATTTAGAGAACACTCGTAAATATAGTGATTTTGAGCTAAGCGCTGTTTATTTGAATATTGGGTTGCCGTTTTTTTTCTCCACTGGGATTGGCCAAGTAGCACGTGCATGTGTGTAGAGGATGCAGCTCGAGCGCTCGCCCACCTCTTGTCGAACGGCGACTCTTCGACTCTAATCTCCGACCCTTGACCTCGTTATATAGGTAGGGCCTAAAACGTGCACTGTGATCTTATTCTGGCTGAACTTTCCGATCCTCTAATCTCTGACCCTTGACCTCGTGGGTAGAGACTTAAGCTTGCACAACCCAACCATATCAGTTGTGACTTTCTGACACGCTAAACTCTCAATGTTCTTTTCAACTGTGACTCTCTCTGATCCTGTAGGCTTACCCTTGAATCCTGCACGAGGGACTTAAGCTTGCTTGATTATCCTTTGTTTAATGTGACTCTCTGACCCCTGGTCTCATGTGGGTTGCTCGTACCTTTCAAAGGGCTTGACTTGACCATGCGTACTCAGCGATTTAAGCTTGCAAAGCCGTCTTGTTCAACGTGACTTCGACCCGATAATTGCTGAGCCTTGCAATGCTCCGTCATAGAGACTCAAGCTTGCAAAGCCGTCCTTTGTGGACTCTGACACTTGACCTCGTGTTCCCCATCTGCCCCATGCCCTACCCCCCACCCCCGCCAGTGTGCGGCCAGTCCTCGGGCAGCATCGAGGAGGCCGGCTCGGACACGGGCTGGATCGAGGGCACTGCCATCCTGCTCACGGTGGTCGTGGTGGTGCTCGTCACGGCGTTCAACGACTGGAGCAAGGAGCGCCAGTTCCGCGGCCTCCAGAGCCGCATCGAGCAGGAGCAGAAGTTCTCGGTCATCCGCGGCGGGCAGCTCGTGGAGGTGCACGTCGCTGAGCTGGTCGTGGGTGATGTGGCGCAGGTCAAGTACGGTGAGGGTCGCTCGTCTCGCGTGCACACGCACGTATGCACTCTCGGGGGGGGGGGGGGGGGGGCGGTAGGTGCCGGACATACGTCGTCATCAGCATCATTGTCGCTATTTTCATCATCATCATCATCGCCATCAAGATGATGATGAGTTTTTGGAGACTCGCCCTCCTTTACACCGAAAGCGTCTCCAGAGCACTTTACAAGCCATAAGTGAATTGCATCACATCTCATCCTCTGTTTGAAAGGGCTCCCGCAGTGGCAGCTGTGTGCCTGTGCTATGAAGTACTGTGTAGGTACATTACCCAAAATGTCACCTTTTTCAAAATATCTTTTTGAGTTTGAGGCAACATTATTATTGGCGAACGTGCTGTGTTTTTTCTGATGTACTCATAATACACGTGTGTAATCGTGCGAGAAGTAAGAATACATTATTTTTTTGCATTCGGTGATTTTGACATGTGCGTTAAACTGAATATTTCATCGCCACCATTCCCAGCGTAGATGAATACGTCCGAGGTACACCCGCCCGACAGTGCTATTTTACGAGCCTTATCGAGGAAAGTCCTGATTTACGTGACAATCTCTGTCCAGGGAAAATACCACTTTGTGATTTATACCGCTGACGACCAATATCTTAAAAACTCAGTTATTTTCTGCTCGAATGCGCATTGAGACATTGGTGTTCACCTCCCATTGACAGCCCTACAGAGCCATAGGGGGAAATTCTACATTCCTATGGCAGGGGCGATATCGCTTCTTTATAGCATGACCGCTGTTGACGTCCTCACAAAGTGGTCATTTTATCGTCCCCGGAGGGATGATAACCCGAGTCAACCCCCCAACGAGGATTTTAACTCTCGACCTTCCGATTGCGAGCCGCTCGCTCGAACGCGGAGCCACCGGGCTGGATTACAATCTGCATAAACGCGGCGCACTTGCGGCTAGTTACGCGAGGAGTAATTAAACAAGCCACGAAAATGAGGATGTTGTATAGCCCCGGTGCTCCGTAAAACGCTAAAACGCTTTGCCATCTAATTATTGTGCTGTTATTGATCGATATAATGCAAAAATGTCCGAAATCGTGGAGGGACGCCCAGGTAAGAACCTAACGAGGCGATCGGATGGATTGCCCCCTCTGTCGCCTGCTTTCCACACCGCAGATGGGCCTTCCAATTGGTTGGGGTGCACCCCCTTTGCCCAATTAAATTGATGGCCCCCTTGGTTGATCATGCCACAGGGGATCTGCTGCCGGCGGACGGTGTGCTGCTGCAGGGGAATGAGCTGTCCGTGGACGAGAGCTCGCTCACGGGGGAGTCGGACCACTTGAGCAAGAGCCCCGACTGTGACCCCATGCTCCTCTCTGGTATGGGCTGCACCCCCCATTCCGCACCGATTGTGCCGAGTGGCTCTCCGTGGGGTGTTTTTTGGTGTTCGGTTGTGACGTCCGACGCTTCGTTCCACGTGCTGGTGGAAACTTCCTCGAAATTATTTTGGTTCACTCATTTTGCAGTCGTACACGTGGACACTTTCGTTTATGTGTGTGCGTGTCTGTGTATGCGCATCTATGTGCATGTTCAGTCCCATCGGTGAGCTCCTCCAGCAGGCAAGGCTGCATTGGCTGGGTCATGGAGCCCACATGTCCAGCCACCGCATGCCCAAACCGCTTTTGTTCGGCTAAATGGGCATGGCACAGGCTAGAGAAATAGATGGAGTGATGTGGTACAAGAGGATATGGAGCTTCGTGGACTTGCTGATGACTGGCACCAGCGGTGTCAAGATCGGACTCTGTAGACGAGGCTCGTGAAGGACACTGCTGGGCAATTGGTGGCAGTCGCCCTCCAACAATAGCGGAGGGCAGAGAAGCGACGCTCGCAACAACGAGCACAGTGCCGGGCGGCTAAAACACAGGAAGTTGGCATAGTAGGGGACACAGGCAGTACATTGTCCAGTCATCAGTCGGTCAACACATGACACCTGGGTCTGTCCCGTGATCTCCTGCCAACTAGTCTTCAATCTTGGCACAAGCTCCATGGGGGCGTCACTGCCACTTTGTGGTGAATGGCGGTTGATGTTATGCCTGTTTACATTTGTGTGGGAGCGGTAGTGCAGTAGTTAACGCACTTGCGTTGCAAATTCGGTTACCCGAGTTTAATTCCCACTCGTGACCAAAAACAGTGGCAAATATTTGAACCGGACTTGGGCCTCCTGTAGGTCGACTCCGCTCTAAATGGACACCTGACGCTTTGTGAAAACATCGGCACTGGGGAGACGATGAGGTTCGTGTGTGCCGCGGCCACACCACCCCCTCGTGTGCCATGCCAGCCTTCACAGGTGCTCGCTTAGAGCACTTGCCCCAACGGTCTGTTAAAGCTATACGGATTGTTGTCTTTGTAATTTGGGAGAGTGGTAGCGTACTGCACTAGAAACCCTCTGGTGACTCGCGTTCAATTTCTGCTCGCGGCCACCAGGCAATCCTTTTTCTAGCCTTTTCTCGCATCTGCGCTGCGCCCAGGCACACACGTGATGGAGGGATCGGGCCGTATGGTGGTGACCGCCGTGGGCATCAACTCTCAAAGTGGCATCATCTTCACACTGCTGGGAGCGACGTCCGGGGAAAGCTCCGACAAGAAGCGCAAGCGAAGTACGGCACCCACGCTCGCCTGCTCCCCCACTCGTTCGCTCGCCGCACCGTCTGTGAGCGAGTGGATTTGGCGCATGTCTCCAAGAAAAGGTCGTTTGGTGCATTTAACCGACGCTGTGCAGTCGCAGCACGGTTTGACTGGCTCTTGTATGTATGTTGAACTTCTTTCACACCGTACGTAGCCAACCGCGCTCTGCTTAATGAAAGGTTAATTATAAAACTGGGCAATTTTAAGTTGGCAAATGCAGTTGTGAATTGACATGTACTGTAAAAAGTTGTCCATCCGGAGACTTTGATTGGCACACAATCCTCATTCTCTGAAGGACTATTGCTTGAAACATCAGACAATTCTATACGGGTCCATATTTTGTATCCGTCTTTGATCCCCCAGTTGTATCTGGGTTGTGCTACCATGTCACGTAAAGAGGCAACGTGTTCAATCGCATAGCAACACCCCTCCATGTCTGATAATAGAACACTGAAGTGGTTATCACAGAGCTACCTCGGATTCTGCTGCAGGTGAGTTCTGGTCCACACAGCACTTTCCCATCCTGTTATGGCAGGGTGCATAACAATCAAGCCAATATACAAATAATTTTCATTCACAGTTGGAATTTAGGTAAATTAAGTGCAGAACAAAATATAATGCAATGGTTTGTTCATATGCAATCGTTTGTGACGTGGCTGACACCATCGGCGGATTACAATTTAGAGCTCGGTTTAGTCGCAACCGACTGAAACCTGGGTTCAAACCCAGGTTCTCTACGGTGCTATGTCGGCACTCTGACCCCCTGAGTCTTAAGGAACCGCAAACCACTGCCGCCTCCATTGGATGTACCCACAGTGCAATCAGACCACGAATAAAGGACCCTACTCTGCCATACCGCCACCTCGGGCAACCTGGCCTTTTCGGTATTATTCATGGCCGAAGGTGAAAAGTTATTGTATTAGGTCGACGGAGACAATTGCATATAATTCATTGGAGTAGCAATAGGTGTATAAACATGAGTTTCTTGAATTGGAGGCTGTGTTTAGTGAAGTCACATGGGTGGAGCACTGGCACAGTGGTTGACGCACGACTGCACTATGAGCCAGGAAACCCGAGTTAAGTTGCAGGCCACGACAAACATCGATGGCAACTGATATCTGAACTCTGCTTGGACACAACTTTTCCCCCCTGGCCACCCCCCCCCCTTCACCTACCCACACTGACCAGTTTAGTCAAATATGGTCAAACATCCCCATGCCATGAGGAGCTTCACCCAGCAATAGCGACAATATTTTTGTTGTAATTCCAGTAAACGAAACCTTAAAAACGATTTAAAAAATCTGTTTATTTCCCTATAAAAATAACATTTACTCATCATTGTTTGTCTTTTTATCAAGTAAATGCGTTTTAGGACGCAGATGAAAAATTATTTTTGGAAGGAAAAAAAAGTCTCCTGTACTATTTTGCACACCCGGCCTGTACAACCAATTTGGATATTGGACGGTGACGATTTCCTTTGCGAGTTTCACCAAAGCTCTGACGCGACTCTAATAACCCTGCCTTGTCTTTTCTCCCTTTTGCCCCATCGTTGCCGCGCATCATTGTCACGTTGAACCCCATTGTGTAACGAACCACAAAACCCCCACCATCGTCGGTCCCCATGGTATTTACTCCGAAACGACCCGAACCGTTTTTACCAAAATTCCTGCTCGCTCAGAAAAAAAAGCAGCCACTACCGAGGTCCCTCGCACTCCCCCCAAATCTCCGCCCCCCACTTCTACCATCCCTGGACAGGCCCCCCAAGAGGACGGTATGTACGCCGAAGATCTACCCCGTGTCTCTGATCGTTTTTTAAATAGTTGCTTCAGAAACAAAATTCTAATCAAATTTCCTCCAATCTCTGACATTTGGTTCCAAATATAAATCTAATATCCATATGTTAATTTTCTTTAGAGGGCTCAAAGTGTTCGGATTTAACAAATTAAGCCAGTGATTATTTTTTCTGGGGTCTTTGTGTTTTCATTTGATTACCTAATCGACTTGAGGTCTTTAAGGAAAAAAAATTAGCAATAGATGTTAAATTTTTCCTTGCGTTCTGATGTTATTCTTGGTTTTTTGTTTTTCCATTCGGCATTATGTTTTGACTATTTATAGATTTTTTTACCCTCAATAACGTGTATTTGGTATATTTATGATTTGCTTGGTGGAGCTGTGGCACAGTCACTCTGTAATCGGGGGCCCCGAGTACGATTCCTGGCCACGGTGAACGTCAATGGCGAGTGATTTCTCAACCAATCCTGGGCCTCTCCTTCCTCAACCCGCATTGACCAGCATGGTGAAGTAGGGTTAAACAACCCCCACGTGGCTTGGGGGGGGGGGGAGCTTAATTTAGCAGTGGATTGACAAAGGGATGTAACTTGTTTTTAAATTTTCATGAAAACATTCTAATGTTAGGCTAAAATGGAGCGAACAAAATTGTACAAACGAGACGGGTGGGGAGGCAGGGGAAAAAAAATGAAACCATAAAAACAAGTCGAAGCAAATCTGTCAATTCAAATCGACCGTGAATCGTGATAATTCATCTAATCTTCATGGGCGGCGGGGGGTGGTGGTGGTGAATTGCTACACGTCTGAAACGGTGTGCGTTTCGTTCTGAATGGGCCGAGCGACGGCGCCTGGTCCGTCGTCGCCGTGTCATTCGATCTCCGATCTTTCCCGCAGGGATGACTGCAGCCGTCACCAACGACGCCCCCCAGGGTGAGCATGTCCCGGCACCCGGAAGGTGGCAGCGGCGGCGGCGGCAGCGCCGGCAACCGCCCCCGACGGCAACCGTGACCACCGCCACGCTGGGGCCGGCGCTCACGTCCGCGCTGTGTCTTGTGCTGGCGCTCGTCTGCGCAGGAGCCCGGAACATTGAGATGTGGCCGCTCGCTGAAGACGGCACCGGCGCCGACGCCGACGCCACCGGTGCCGGCAGAGTGGACTCGCCGCTCGGCGGAGAGCGGACCACGATGGCGGGGGAGGAGAAGAAGAAGGCTAAAAAGAAGAAACGAAGGAAGAAGGCGAAGAAGGAGAGGTCCCCGCTGCAGGCGAAGCTCACCAAGCTGGCCGTGCAGATCGGCAAGGCCGGTGCGTCCCCCCGCGCCCCACGCTGCCACTGCCGGCGCCCCTCTTCTGCCTCCATGGTGCCATCACATGGCTTACGGGGAGGAGCTTCTGTTGTTAAGTCGGGGGGGGGGGGGGGGGGTGGAGGCCAACTCAGACACGAGGCTTGCGCGCCGTAACGCCGATCGTTGAGGTTCATCTTCCTGACCACTGTGTCGCTGCAAAAGCCACGTGAGAAAAAAAAATTACAAATGCGTCGCTTGCATTTGTTTTTTTTGGTGGTTTTTTTTTCTACAATTTTATCACAATTGTGCGATCGGCACCGTGTCAGGCCCCAGGATCTCAGCGATGCCGGCTCAGCGCTCTGACCTCCGAGCTACCCGGCCACTCCAAAAACAATACGGGCATGTTTTTTAATCCTCACACCTGGAGTAAGATGACAGGAAGTGAAATGAGAGCTTTAAAACCTCCAACCTCTTGACCTCCCCCCCCCCCCTTGCATCTCCCTGCCGACCTCCCGGCCCCCGCAGGCTTGATGATGTCACTGCTGACGATGGTGATCCTGGTGCTGTACTTCGTGATCGACACGTTCGGGGTGCAGGGCCGCACGTGGCTGCCGCAGTGCACCACGATCTACATGCAGTACTTTGTCAAGTACTTCATCATCGGCGTCACCGTGCTGGTGGTCGCCATGCCCGAGGGGCTGCCCCTCGCCGTCACCATCGCGCTCGCCTACTCCGTCAAGGTGCGGCCCCAAACACCGTCCACCCCCCCCCCCACCCTCTCGGAGGAATGTGCCAGCTGCCGATCCGTGCCTCCATCTCATTGGACCTGACAACTGGCTCCCGTCCGTCCCCCAAATTCCGGCTGCCAGACTCCTCACCGGCACCCCGTAAACGAGACCACTGCACCGCCGCAACACTCCCGGCTTCCAGTGCAGTCGGCGATCTACTTCAAGGTCCTTCATGGACTCACTCCTGCCTACCTCTCCTCTCATCACTCTACTCCCCTCCACACACTCTGCTAACTCTCCCCCTCTCACCTCACTCTACTCTCCATGCACTCTCCTACCTCTGCCCTCCCATGTCACTCGACTCCTCTCTTCCCCTCTCGTGTGTGGGCTAACTCCTTCCACGTACCAAACGGTCGTTCACGAAATTGGCCAAATCTTCCAGTGTAGCAGGACCCTCCTGAGAGACGGTCTTGACACTCGGTGAGGCTTTGCTGTGTAAATACAGACCGTTGTTGTTATTGTTGTATCGCTGTGGTGTTGAAGTGAATGCCTCCGTCTGCAGAAAATGATGAAGGACAACAATCTGGTGCGGCACCTGGACGCGTGCGAGACGATGGGCAACGCCACGGCCATCTGCTCCGACAAGACGGGCACCCTCACCACCAATCGCATGACTGTGGTGCAGGTGAACCGCTCGCCGCCAACTATGAACCTCACGAGTGTTGTTGTGCGTGCGAGGCTCGCCCCACAACCACATCGGCGCACTGACCATGCTTCGTGCTGTTCCCTACGTAATAGGTGCTCGCTAACGGCACTTGCCCCTGCAGCTCGTTCGTGTAGGCCACACGGGTGATCTCTAGCTCTCTGTTGGTGGGTTCAGGTGTACGTGGGAGGGAAGCATCACAAGCTCGATGGGGGCCAGGGACCCCCCATCCTGCCCCCGGCGATGCTCATGGAGCTGTGCAACGCCATGACCATCAACTCTGCCTACACCAGCAAGATCCTGGTGTGTGCATGTGTCTTTGCTGTGTCTTTGCTGTGTCTTTGCTTTGTCTTTGCTGCGTCTTTGCTGCGTCTTTGCTGCGTCGTTTCTGCGTCAGTGTGCGAGTGTGAATGTATGTATGTGGGAGAGGTGGTAGCGCACTGCACTACGAACCCAGCGACTCAAGTTTGATTTCCGCTCACGGCATCCATCCCCAGTGACGATTACCTAAAGCAGTTCTGGGACCTCTTAATATCGACCTTTAAAATGAGTACCTGGTGCGGTGTGTACCTTCAACAGAGGAGGAATGGCTAAACTAGATGAACTCCCTCCCTGCTGAAGCCCTCTCGTTGTGGCCAACAGACCTCGATATTGGCTTCTAGCTCCTGAATATATTGGCGCGCGCAAGAATAGAACAGTGTGTAAAGATCGCCACTGGGGAAACAAAGGCGGTCGGGCGTGGTGCTGGCCACCCACCCACTCGTGTTCCATGCCAGCCTTCGTAGGTGCTCGCTAACATTTGCCCCAAAAAAAATCTGTTCCGGCTATACGGGGGTGGGGGGGTCTTAGTCATTTGTGTGTCTGAACACGTGTGTGTGTGTGTGTGCGTGCGAGAGTCTTTTGTTCTGTGCTTTTTTTTGCACGCACATATACGTGTTTTTACCCACGTGTCGCCTGCGGTACGTGCGTGCATGAATTCACGTGTCCGTGTGTGCGTTTTCATTCGTACCTGTACCTCGTCACGTGCCTCGTGGGTCCATCTCCAACCTCATCGTGTCCGACCCCCCCATCCACCCCCCTCTAGCCCCCCGAGCGGGAGGGTGGGCTGCCCCGCCAGGTGGGTAACAAGACGGAGTGCGCGCTGCTGGGCCTGGTGGAGGCGCTGGGGGGCGACTACCAGGCGGTGCGCGACGGCACTCCCGAGGAGGCGCTCCACAAGGTGTACACCTTCAACTCGACGCGCAAGTCCATGAGCACCGTGGTGCGCGCGCCGGGGGGCGGATTCCGCCTCTACAGCAAGGGCGCCTCCGAGATCCTGCTGCAGAGGTGTGCGGAGCAGCGGTTGTCCCGGGCCTCTCCCGATTCTAATTCCTCCTCGTGTCTGCATGGGGTTGGAGCTCCGCTTCTCATTCTCCACTCTCTGCCCTGGCTTCAGCAGCCCTCCCACCTCGGACGACCGCTCCCCTTGCCCTCCTCTGTTTGTCTCCTCCGTCCTCGTCTTGGTTTCCGCCTCCTTGCCTAGCGCGTCCATCCGCAGAGCTGTCGCACATTCAGGGTCCCTCTCTCTCCTTCGGGATGTGCCGTCCGTTTCTTGACGCAATACTGCATATGCGAAGGTTAAAAGTGAAGCTCTGCAATTGCTTGCTTACAATTCTGGAGGAGGTTCATTTTGTCCAACTCTTCTTGTGTTGGTCAGAATTCCCCACTTTATGCCACCCACGTGTGACCTGCCGACCGACCTATGTATATGTTGAACTTATTTCGCGGCGTACATAGTAAGCCGTGGCACACGCGTTCTAACTGTGGTGCACCCGTTCTTACTGCTGGGGTGGTAGTTACCCACACTTCACCCCACCACCACCACCACATGCGGTTTGCCAATCGACAAACTGGTAGTGGACCCATATCGCTGGGGTCCATCCTCAACTGCATCCGCACAAACCACGGCAGATGCAGATACCTGATGCACAAATTGAGACGTTAAAAACTCTCCAGGAGTGTGCAACTACGGTCTGCCCAGAACAGACCATACAACCACGCAATGCCCGATCCACAAATACGAAGGGGACGTCGCGGCGATGCCACTTGGGCTACTCCCGCCGCGGCTATCTGGCTCGACCACCTGGATGTGACATTGCAGTTGTTGCTCTGCAATCTGTACGACAAGAAGAAGATTCGCCCGCTCGCCTCCCCCCCCCCCCCCCCCCCACAACCCGAGCCGTGGGTGTCTCCCCCACCCACCGTCGTCCCCCCACCGTGCAGGTGCTCCCAGGTGCTGGACGCCACCGGCAGACCAGTGCCATTCCCGGCAGCGGAGCGCCAGGCCGCGGTGCGCGCGGTGATAGAGCCGATGGCGCGCGAGGGCCTGCGCACCATCTGCGTCGCGAGCCGCTTCTTCCCCCCCGGCGAGGAGCCCCCGTGGGACGAGGAGGAGAGCGTCGTGGCGCAGCTCGTGTGCATCGCCGTCGTCGGTATCGAGGACCCCGTGAGGCCCGAGGTGAGGGGAGGGGGGAGAGGGTGAGCGACCGGTCCTGGCGGTGTCGACGTCGACCTCGGTGGAGGAGGAGGCTCGTGAAGGTCGCTCCTGGGCAGTTGGAGGCAGTTGCGCGCGCCAGTGACGGCGAAGGGCGGAGCGATGCTCGCAACGACGGCGGGTGGCTGAGATCCAGCGAGTTGGCGCAGTGGGGAGCACAGGTGGTGTATCTGCAGGCCATCTCGGCAGTCGGTCAACCCCATGGCACCTGGGCCTGTTCTGTGACCTCCTGCCATTCGAGCCTTTTGGCCCATTACGTTTCCTCAGAGCGCCGAGCCTGAAACGAGCATTGTGGTGATGTCAAAGCCACTTAGTTTGTGGGTGAGGATAATAGGTGCTCGGCAATCGTATTACTTGCCCCAACAGCCGCTGTAGGTTATACGGTAGCAATGATTAGGACACTTAAGGCGAGCTAATGTTGAGTGAACTGTTGACTAACCGTTGGTGTAATATTTATTCGTACTGGAAGTTCAGCCAAGCACAAAAAACCATTCAAGAAAATTGTTAAAAAATATGATTAGCGAGTTAACATTCACTAACTGGCACAATAACACCTTGCTACATCATGGATTGCAGAACTTGGGGAGGTGTGAGAGTTCACTGCTCCATCTCCACTGCAGCCTTTCCTGACTCGTCTGATTCCTCTTGGAACCTCCCGAGTCGTTTTTTTTTCTCTTTGAGAGCGAGGAGCGAAACACCGTGCGGTGCTCCCGCCGCGTCACAAGTTTAAATTCTCAAAGTTATCATTTATATTGCGATAATCGCCACATTGTGATCTTGGCGTTTAAAAATTATATCGTGGAAACTATTCCGCGTGAAGTCGCGATGGTGTGTCACGCTTGTGCGTGCGAACGTTCCCGTGGTAATCCATCTCCCCCAGTTAAACGTGCAACGTTGGGTCAATGTTGCGCATGCAGCTGTAACCGTCGGCCCGACGCTTAATGACAACTGGGTTCCCGCCTGCAGGTTCCACGAGCGATCGCCCAGTGCCAGCGGGCGGGCATCACGGTGCGCATGGTGACGGGCGACAACATCAGCACAGCGCGCGCCATCGCCACAAAGTGCGGCATCATGGTGCCTGGCGATGACTTCCTGTGCCTCGAAGGCAAGGAGTTCAATGAGAGGATTTGCGACGAGAGTGGTGAGGTGTGTGCACGCCCCCCCCCCCTCCCATACCCCTGGGGCTCGCCTCGGGTCACAACTTGGATCCTTGAGCCACAGACTCAAAAGTGGCTTGTCGGTTACCACCCCCACGGTAGCGAATCATGCTACCGATTATTATTTTTTATGGAAGCGTTTTATCCAGTAGACCAACGGAATACGTCTCGTAGCAAGCTCATCGCGGTAGCTTTTGTGTGATAAAATGTTGTTAAATAAGGCCACCATGTTCGGTAAAAAATATCGTTTTGGGATGAACACAAAAGCGAATGTGACAGGAGACATACTGAAGGTGAAAATAAATAGGAAGAGTGTCCATAAAGCAGGTATGTATGAAGTAATGTTTCTGTCTATGGATTCCTCGTAGCATTTTCCACCAGGTGGTATCGACAAACCTCCTTGGCTAACTGGGACCCTGGGTAGTCGTCCATTCCCAATTTGTAATGGGGGCAGTGAGGTGAGCGAGTAGTACCACCCACCCTCCCATCTCACGCCTGATACCCTGGCAGGTGGATCAGGAGCGGTTCGACAAGGTGTGGCCCAGGCTGCGGGTGCTCGCCAGATCCTCGCCCACCGACAAGTACACCCTGGTCAAAGGTCGCGCACGCCACGCACTCCTAGACCCATCGCAAAACTCGCATCACGTCGCAACTCTCCTCGCGTTTTAAAGCTGCCGAACGTCCGTCCTGCTTTCAGCAACGACTGTTACTGGGTGTCCCAAAACTGTTGTGACACTGGGAATTGTCACTGGTGTCAAATGGTCTGTCCTCATGCCTGGACTCGTGATATGGACAGTGGGCAGAGCTGGCAGGGGAGTAGGTGAACCCTTAAAAGAGAAACAATTTCAGTTTGGAAATCTGTAAACTTGGTCAACGAATGCGGATACGATTAGCTGGGCTGGGGTGTAGCGGTGGCACTGGTAAGTGCAATGCGCAGCAAAAAACCCAGCGACTGGAGTTGGATTCCCAGCCGCAGCTAACATCAGTGGTGAATGATATCTTTCGCGGTCCTGGGCTTCCTCTCGGCTGACTCGGGCTTCAAATGAGCACCCGCTGCGGTGTCTAAACACAAAATACCCTCTTGTGCGCACCGCTCCGGCCTTCATAGGTGCTCCCCTATCAGCACTTGCCCCAACGGTCAACAGAGGGATACCTGTGATGCAATTTAAGCGTCGTGATCTTTGCCTTTTTTGTTTTGCTTCGCGTGCGACGTGCAGGAATAATCGAGAGCTCGGCGGCAGACCGGAGGCAGGTTGTGGCCGTGACCGGGGATGGCACCAATGACGGGCCGGCGCTCAAGAAGGCCGACATCGGCTTTGCCATGGTGTTTTTGCCATTTCTCTATCGCGTCTCCACACAGCCACACCTCGACACTTCGCAGACATAAAACGGCGTGATGGTGAAAGCGGGAATGGGTTGGGGGGGGTTGGGGGGGGGGGGGTGGCAGGAGGCGGCAGGAGGCGGGGTGGGGGGTATCGGGCAGAGGGAAACACTGCGAGCGAGGAGGGAGAGCATCGCCACACCACAGCATGGGACAGAGCAACTGGGACCCAGCACCCAGGATGAGAATGACAACAATGAGCCCCCGGAGGGGCAGCCAGGGCAGTGTGTAACCCCTCGGGCCATGTGTGCTCATGCAAGTTTGGCACTCGCGTCCAGCAGCAGTGACGATTATCTGAACCGGTCCTGGGCCTCCCCTAGGTCTACTCAGCCTCAAAGGAGTATGTAGTGCAGCGTGCAAAATCATTGGCGCTGCGGAGACAAAGGTGGTCGGGTGTAGTGCCGGCCATCCACCACCTCGTGTACCATTCCGGACATCGTAGGTGCTCGCTTATCACACTTGCCCTGAGCACGCCTGTTAAGGCTACACGGGGGATCTTTGTCTTTGTCCTCGTGTGTGCACCCAGGGCCTCGCGGGCACCGACGTGGCCAAGGAGGCGTCGGACATCATCCTGACGGACGACAACTTCAGCTCCATCGTGAAGGCGGTGATGTGGGGGCGCAACGTCTACGACAGCATTGCCAAGTTCCTGCAGTTCCAGCTCACGGTCAACGTGTCGGCCGTCATCGTGGCCTTCACGGGGGCCAGCATCACGCAGGTTCCCCCCCCCCCACCTGCCGTGCCCCCCCCCCCCCGTGCACCGCGTTTGTCTCGTCACGTGAGACACAATGACCTCACCCACATGACACCGATGTCGCATCCGTGTGTTCACGGTGAGCTAACGCACCCGGCATGGGTGGTGTCCTAAGGGTAAATGTACAATGTGGGTTTCTATAGCGTTTAAATGTGACCTCCCCACAAGCAGAGTTCACTGCTCCATCTCCACACTAGTGACGTGGATTGCCCGATATCGCAGGACCGTGAGAGAACGACGATGGATTGGGGAGTCATTCATCCAGCAGTGCATCAGCCTTTCTGATGATGATAAAATGTGAATATCTGAATTAATTGACTGTCTGTGACCTACCTCTATTCAATAGAGGCAGAGGACAAAGGACGGTCTTGATCCTGATTTTGAACATTGGTAGGGCGTTTACAGCACGAATGGCAGGTGGGAAAGAGCAGCAGAAGAGAATGAGAGACCTCCCACTGAGTGATGCCGCAGCAAAGAAAGGTTACTGGAGGGCAGTGGGGAGAGATTACAGGTGGGAGGGTGCACAAAGCGGAGTATAATGAGCTGAGAAGGGAGAGGTAGGAGAGCGCGTGGAAGGGAGTAGAGTCAGCCGAGACGTTGGAGAGGTAGGAGGAGCCCGTGGCAGGAAATCGAGCAAGACATCGCATCATCCTTGGCTCCAGCGTGTCGCCGGGTGGGTCGATGCGTGCAGGACTCCCCGCTCAAGGCCGTGCAGATGCTCTGGGTGAACCTCATCATGGACTCGTTTGCGTCGCTGGCGCTCGCCACGGAGCCGCCCACCCCGGCGCTGCTGCAGCGCCGGCCGTACGGGCGCGACCGCCCGCTCGTGTCGCGCACCATGGCCAAGTTCATCCTGGGCCACGCCGTCTACCAGCTCGCCGTCACCTTCACCATCCTCTTTGCCGGTGGGGGCGCCAACGCCGGCTCTCCCTTTTTTTATTCCGCGCCTGTCCGATGCCAACGCCGCACAGCTCCAGTTTTTATCAGCCGCAGCTCCGTGCGGTTCATAGAGCGCGCGATGACCACGTGGGTATTTGTAATTCTCATGAGCAAGGGGCTGTGACCTCAGAATCGCAATATTTACTTCTACGTGAGGAATCCGATGAGCTATAATGCTCTTTTTCAAAGATATCCTGAAGGGTTGGTCAGAACGTTACAACAACAAACAATCCAATACGTGATGGAAGTGCAAAGTATAGGAAAGTAGAGAATCACCTTTAAAGAAGTATACAAATAAAACTAAGCTTTTTTTTTATCGAACCAGGTGAAGCCCAACGAACGTTTAGCTTCTTTTTCAGAAGCGACCTGCCCACAAAGTGTAGCCTAACTAAGTGGCTTATCATAATGTGTAAATTTATAGCAGCCAAATTTTTAATGCAGCGTGTTTTTTTGCGCATTACTTGGTGTGACATGGTGGGTTGACACGCGCTGCCCCCCCCTACTGTGTGGACCAGTGTCACTTTTTAAAGGGCTCTCGGATTCAGCTCTGTGGATATCGCAGGCCTGCAAGAGATGACAATGGATTTCTCGGCTCCTAGCATGACACCAAATATGACTCTCGGAGTAAAAAGGCAAAGGAGTATTTGTTTAAGAATGTGTCTGTTGATCTCATGTCTGCCGATCTCATGTCTGCCCCCTCCCATCTGTCCAATCGTTTGTCTGTCTGTTGATCCGTTTTAACCGTCCGTCCGTCTGTTTTATCCCGCCTGTCCCCCTGCAGGCGACCTCCTGTTCGACATCGACAGCGGACGCAGCGCGCTGCTGCACTCGGCCCCCACGCAGCACTACACCATCTTGTTCAACGCGTTCGTCATGATGCAGATCTTCAACGAGATCAACGCGCGCAAGGTGCACGGCGAGAGGAACGTGTTCGCGGGGATCCACCGCAACCCCGCCTTCATCGTCATCGTCGTCGGCACTGCCGCCACGCAGGTGCCTCGTCGCTGTCGCTCGCCTCGTCACTGGCCAGTCCATCGCTGTAGTCTGCGGCTGCCCAGTTTGATCCGACCCCCCCCCCACCCCCACCCCAATAGGTCATCGTCATAAATTGTGATTTTTATATCGCGTTTCCAATGCAGTGCTCTTCCTCAAGGTACCGGTCCGCGGCCCGGGGGTTGGAGACCCCTGCTATATAGGACCCACCATTGTGACCTCGACTTAAACTACAATCTCACGTCACTTAATGCTGAAAAAATTGGCAGGAATTTATAGACTTTGGCGATTTTTTGTTATACACTTTTAACTATTTGTATTTGTTTATTTCTAGTGACTTTCTCACCTTTCCTATACTTTGCACTCCTATCGGTTTTTGTTTTGTTGTTGTAGCTTTCTGACCTGCCCCTACTTGGACTTCTGTGAAAAAAAAGCTTCATAGCTCATAGGATTCCTCCCGGTATAAATAAAGATTCTGATTCTGTCTGTAGTTTGGGTGTTGTGCTGGTCACCCACCCACCTCGTGTGCAGTGCCGGCCCTCATAGGTGCTGCTACTCGTCAACAGCACTTGACCCTACATCCTGTGTGGGCTACACGGGGGATCTTTGTCTGTCTATGCATGAGGAGCGGTTGGCGCACTGCGCTACAAATCCAGTGACCTGAGGTTTGATTCCAGATCGCGGCCAACGTCGTTGATACATATCGGAATGGATTACGGGCCTCCCCGCGGTCGAATCTGTCTTAAATGAATATCTGGTGCGGCTGCGGTCTGTAAACAAAATAAATATCTTTACTGAAGGAATCCAATGAGCTATAAATCTCCTTCACAGATTTCCAGTAGGGGCATGGGGTCAGAACGTTACAACATCAAATGATACAAAAAACACGATAGTAGTGTAACTTATAGAAAATGTGAGCAAAGAACAAAAAAAAATACACATAAAACTAAACTCTTTTTTTATTTTACCAGGTAAAGCCCGCTGAGCTTATTGGCTTCTTTTTCAGAAGCTACCTGGCCACAAATGATCACTCGATGAAGTGGCATGACATCACCACTGGGTAGGCAAAGGCGGCCAAGTGTGGCGTTGGCCACCCACCTCCCTCGTGTGCTGTGCCGGCCTTGAATGCGTGCCTCACTCGCAGCACTTGCCCCAACAGTCGCCTTTTACAGGCTACACAGAGGCGGGTCTCTTATCTTTGTTGTTGTTGTGCCGGTGTGCGCGCGTGGCAGGTGATTATCGTGCATTTCGGAGGTCAGCCGTTCAGCTGCACTCCGCTCACCATAGAGCAGTGGCTGTGGTGCGTCTTCCTGGGGCTCGGCGAGCTGCTGTGGGGGCAGGTGAGGTGCGTGCGAGTGCCCCCAGGGCTGCCGTGGGGGCAGGTGAAACATGCGTGTGCGCCCCCAAGGCAGGTACGTGGCCGCGTTCGATAGCGAGCGTAATGTCCGCCGCAGGGATCCCATGTCCACACTCGTGCAAACAGAAGTACCAAAAAAGCGTTAACTCTGCTAGGTCAACATTTTAGTTTGTCGCGTTGATTTAAGTGGTGGTGGAGTGGTTGGCGCACTGCGCCGATGACATTTGACACGAAATTTGGGTTTTTGGCTATGGCTAACGTTAGTAGCGAGTGGCGATTTATGAACGGCTTCTGGTCCTCTCGCGGAGAGAACAGATCCTTAGGCTGGCATAAATGCATTTCATGTATTTACTAACGCAGATACCCACGGACTTGCCTGAGGGCTCGAGACTTGCACAGACACCCATGGATTTACACAGAAAACCATGAACTCCCATCGACTTTTTGTTATCCTTCCCCGCACCCTCGATGAGCACGTTTGGCTGTATACGGTGCGAAAAGTTGTACGTACGCACCATGCAGACTCGCAGACGGCGACCCACGAGCGTATTTCCCACCTGCGCGTGCTCATCGCCAACAGCTGATCGCGAGCTTCAACGTAAACCGCTTCTGCCGCAAGAAGCGCATCGCCGGTGGGGACGAGAAGCACGGTGAGCTTGGGCCGCTGGACGGCGCCGACTCCTCCGATTTGGAGGACTCCGACGCCGGGGAAGGGAGCTCCGAGTCGTCGGAGGGGTACGACGGCGCTGGGGAAGCGCCTGAGCTGCGCGCAGCACAGCTGCTCTGGATCCGCGGCTTCAACCGCATTCAGACGCAGGTGACGACACCGACTCGCACGCCACCCCTCCCCCACCACCAGCACGCTCCGTCTTCGCCTGTGCCCCTCCCGGCAACGCGGTGTCGTGACGGATACTGCAAGATCCGTACCGTGTCCGTGCAGTGCTCACCGAGCTGCATTGGCTTCTGTTTGGCGAACAAATACATCTTGAGGTCGCACTCATTCCGCACAAAATGCTTGCCACAAATGAACCATAATACCTTGCTGATCTCGTCGGAGCATGAAGCATCATCACGCGAACTCCGGTGGCCATCCTCGCCGCAGCAGCAGCGGCTTTTGATGAGCCATTGAACAAAGACGATCAATGTATCACGCGTTTTCAGATGTGCTTCTGCAGGCATCTCGAACGCTCTTCCTTCCAATATTAGGAAGCCACTGGAGCTATGCACTTTTAAATCTAGAATGAAAAGTAATTTCTTTAGAACTGCTTTTCATGTTTAGTTTGTCCGACCCCACACCTCCGATTTTAGCACGGTTGACTATGTACGGTGCGCGAAATAATTTAGACGTACATACAACACGCGGAAGCGTGTTGTATGTGAGTTGGGAAACTACTTGTGGACCAAGATGTCGGTGTGGACCAAGAAATGGGTGGAAGAAGGGATCTGCGAGGCAGCTCTGTGAAATTCGCTTCCGCGGGGACGTTCCCTGAACACGAAAGGTTGCAACTGCTGCGCGAGAGATCCGCTTGGAGTCTTCATGACGCCTAGAGAGCACAATCGGAATAAAAAATAAAACCAAGTGGGAAAAAGATGACAACATTGAAAATAAGGCAGAGCGCTGGCTTTGAGATGCTCAGGTGGCTCTGGGCCTTGGCGAGGTTCTTTTGTAACAAGGCGGAGTGCCCTCTATGCTGGATGTGTGTAACCCGCGTTTTTGTATGTATGTTGAATTTCTTTCACACCGTCCATAGCCAAACGTGCTAAATCGAAGTGCAGGGGGAAGGACAACAAACTAAACACACAAAAGCAGTTTTAACGAAATGAGTTTTCCCAATCTACAATACATCAGCCCGTTGTGAGCTTTTTTTTTAATTAAGAGGCAGTGGTAACGGTGAGCGTGCCAAATGATTACTTTGAACTCGTCGGCGAGCTTCAGCCAACAATGAGGATGAAGGTTTGGGGGGGGGGGGGGCACTCTTGAAAGCTGCGATCCAAAGGTCGCCGGTGCAATGTCTCTTCTCTCGGCGGCGCAGTAGTTGAAACAATGAAGCAAGTTTCGTCAAGTCCTCCCACTCCCCCTGCCAATCTATACCCCCACAGCTGTGTGAATGTGTTCATCACGGTGAGTCGAACGGCAAGGTCCTCGTGCGATCCGGTTCAAGTGTGGTGCGAGAGCGAGTAATTGCGGAGCCGCACTTTGACATTTTTGACCGAGTCGCACCCGCCCCTGACATGCACCGCAGTTTTAACCGTGATCATTCGCGCACCCACCAACGCGGGTTGGTGTCTCGGAAACCCACGTGGCTACAATCGACCCGGTCGCCTTACTAAAGCGGCGCGTGCGTTTCTCCCCCCCCACCACCCGCCACCCCCAGCTGCGGGTCGTGAGCGCGTTCCGCACCTACGGCCACGACCTCTCGCTGCCCTCGTCCAGCGACGAAGAGGACGACGACGACGGCAATGACACGGAGATGGACGATGTGGCCAGCGACAACGACGCCAATAAAAAATACGCGAGGCTCGACGAGGCGCGGTCCGCAAAGCGGCAGTGCGCGCCGGCATCGCCGTCGTCACCGCCGTCGTCGCCAAACGAGGATGCGGCGCGCGGCGAAACGGTGCGGGAGGTGCGCGTGGTGCCGGTGGGTGTCACCGTCGCCGACAACGGCACCAGCTTCCAGACGGCGGTGTGAGAGGGAGATGGAGGGGGCAGGGATGGCGGCGGCTGTGGCATCGTCGGCCTGCGGGCGGAGATGCACGCACGGGCGGACGGGCGGGCGGGCGGGCAGCACGCACGCACGCACTTCGCTTGCTCCTCGCAAAAACAAGGGTGACGTGTATTATTTTCGGGCTGCGGCAGAAAATGTTGTATCGCGAGCAACCGTTTAAGGCTGGAACGGTGTGGCCGGCACCGTTCTCCAGCCGCCTTTTTTCTCCGCAGTGCTCCCGTTTCCACATAGCACCAGGTACCTAATGGGGAGGGGGGATGCCCATGACACGCGTCGCTGATGTTACCCATGAGCGAGAAGCGAACTTGGGTCACTGGGTTTGTAGCACAGTGCACGAACTACCGCGGCTCCACTCCATTACACTTGAGGCTTATGCATACACAAACACACGCGCGGGCATGCGCGAGTACATAGTTCGCTGCCCAGCATGGGAACTTTCATTCTTTTCAGATTTCCAGGCGCACGTTCAATTTGTAGGCGAGCGCCACGCCACTCCAGGCGAAAACCGAACGGAAAACCTTCGCAGGAGCTCTGTATTAATTTCCCCCTCATTAGGTTCGTCACCGTCGTCCCCCTCTCCTCTGCCTCTCGGTGTGGCTTGGCGGGCATCTGACTTGTCCAAAAAACTAACCCGGCACGGATCCCAATGTGGGGCGGTAGTCCAGAGCGCGGCGCCAGCCCCCGATTTCTATCTTGGCTGACCCGCAAGCGGACTGGCGACTTGTGCGACCGCGCCTGGTGGCCATCTCCAAGAGACGCAGTGGACAGCGGAGCAGGCCTCGGAAAGTCCGCACAAAGCCCTGCGCAAGGAAAAAAAATTTTGGGAATTATACGGAATGTTTTTGCCGTTCCGCGTGTGTGTTTACCGCTTGCGCATCTCGTTGGGCATGTCGCGATTCATTATCTCACTCCTCTCACTCTTCGCAAGTGATTCTGTGGGTTGTCAAAATCCGCGGTGAGGATTCGGCTTAAAAATAGTTTTTTTGCCTTTGGTTTTTTTATTGTTTCTCAATTTTGTTTCCATCTTCTCGCTTGTACACATTCGTTCACTCCAGTAGCTGAGATATAAAATTAGCGTATTGTTGAGTGTACCTTTTTTTGTATACATTATACATAATTCCTGTACACGAGGTTACGTGTGTTTATCAAGACAAGCTATTTATTAATGAATCCGTCTGTCGCCAACCGAATTGTTGGATGCGATTCGATCAAACGTGATTTATTTTTGGTCCCGTTTTGACAACTCTCTTGCGTTATTTCAAATGGTTTTCCATCTCGTTGTAGACTTGCATTCACTCCATGCAATTTGCAAGTCGTTTGCAAGATAATTTGCGCAAGATGTAAGTAACCGATTGCTCGTGCGCACGTGAGATCCGGTGTGATTTATCACAATAAGATTCTGTTTTAATCCATGCAACCGCCTGTTGCGATTTCACGTTGACACAATTCTGGGTCCCAGCAATTCGATTCAAGAATCTGATATTTCCTCTTTTCACCACCTCGGTTGTATGATTTAAAAATAATATCTCTCGTGCTGCAAATTGTCGTCAGTCCTGAGCGCAAGGATCGATTTTGTAACATTTGAAGCCGTACGGCCGTCGCGTTCTATTGAACGATCCAAGTGCCTTCATTGAGTGATTACAACAATCGCAGCCACTCCTTATCCCATGCGCACTGAAACGTACAGAGCACGGGTTGGCTCTAAACGATAACCTGCAGCGAGGTGATTTAGTAGTGAACGTGTTTTTTGTAGATTCAGTCATAGACTGAAAGAAAATTTTGTTTGTAACCTTCGAGTCAAAGTAAACCCGCACTAAAATGTGCTGAACGTTTCGTATATCATTCCAAAGCCGTCCCATAAATCACAGCTACCCACCGCAGTGGTGGAATTGCACAAATTAACGTGTTTATCCTTGTGGCGTTCGCTGTTGAGTGATCGGACTTGATGCCGTGTTGCCGAGTGGATGACATCCGAAGTAAGCCCGTCGCAATTTTTTTATGTTCATATGTTTTATTTTATAACGTTCAGTTTGTAATGGGGTTTCCCCCCTACGTGGGATGTTCCCATCGAGTTAACAGGAGCTGCAGATGCTTGCTGTTGTGTGCCTTGGCTGCTTTTGGTTGTCTCGCAGAAATTAAACGGCTGAGATGTATGCGTCAGTGTCGGGGCTTGAGTGCGAGGGGCGGTCCTCTGGATCTGAAAGGTGGCCAGCGGGATGGCGGGTACGGCGATGGATTCTGAAATCCATCGCTGTGGATCTTTTGAGTGTTGCTGCCTCGTGTGTATGGGGTGGGTTTTCTCGCCAGCGTGGCGACTTTGAACAAGCGTTAACTACCTCGCCTGGTATCCAGCAAGTCTTGAGTTGGAACCCGATCTTGACGCATGCTGTATAAACTTGATTTGAAGCTTTCGTGACTGCAGTAATTACTCTTTTGTTGTTTCGGTGAAGTCACGTAGAAAGAAAATAAATCAAATAGAATACGACGTTTCGATTGCAACACAAGCAGTCGTCATCGGGTACAAATAAATTTTGAGAGACAAAACACAGACACGGAGACACGGACATCTCTCCCCGTGGTCACGAGGATTTTTCTCCGGGTCCTCTGGTTTTTCGCACCACACAATAGCAACACGCGTTTCGAGTATTTGGCTGCTATAAATGTCCACATAAGCTACTTGGTTGGGCTATCATGTGGCCAGGTCGCTTCTGAAAATAGCGATACTGTATATAGCGCATTGGTCCTTCCTTGGTAAAGTACAAAAAAAATAGTTTAAATAGTTAAATGGCATTGGCCAAACATCCCAATGCAATGGGGCCCTCCTAAAACAAGGTTCTCGTGACCCGGTGAGGCTTCCCTGGATGAATAATGACAAAACTCACCTGGAATGTGCCAGTTCTCGGAAGCTAAGCAGGGCTTTTGGACCTGGTTGGTGCTTGTGAATAGGTGACCCAGGCCTGCGTCCTGCGTGGCAGGTGATGGTGGCTGCGGAACTTCGTGGCGGACAGCAGAGAGCAGTGTAGCACAACCCAAAGCTGCGCTGTGCGTTCCGTGCCCCCACGTCTACGCTCGCACGCCTTCACGGCAACGCGCACTGACCAGCGCGGTGAAGTATGGTCAAAAAAACTCTAAACAAACCCGCACGGTTGTAGAGGCGGAGGAAGGCACTCATCCAGCAATGGGTCTACAATGGCCTCGGCATGTACCAATGTACTGTATTAAAACACAAGCAGTTACAACCGTCCAAGGCTTGTTTATATTGACCGAATAATGCAAGCAGTACATCCATACGAACGTCAGAGGGCACGTGTGGCCAATTTAATTAACTGATGGAATATTGTCCACTGGTTTTTTCCTGTCCAATAACGGGGGCACACCTTTCCATGGAGGTGCAACAGCCACAGGAATGACTGTGGCGATTCCACAATGAGGGTGACCACAATGGGGATGATACTAAACTATTAAATCCACATTTACCAAACCTCAGCCATGATCAATCTCACTGCCTCTACAAGCCGATCTCGTGATGTTTTAATAATAATGTGGTAGTCGTTTTGGAAATGGGAAAAGTATATTTGTATATACCTGAATACACAAAATACATGCATGAATCTGTTCCCCGAATACAGGATAATCAGGTGAATAATTGGCAGCAACATTCGTGAAATACTGTGTATATAATACAGTACTCTAACGCCACGTTTACCAAATATGGCAATGCCTGTTATGATTATCGGGGTGGAGTGATTCGTGCACTGCGCTATAAGCACAATGACCTGGGTTGGGTTCGGGGTCACGGCTAACATCAGTGGCGAGGGATATTTGCGGGAATCGGTCCTGGGCCTCCCTCCCCTTCAACCCACACTGACGATCGTGAAGTCTGGTCAAACAACACCCGTGATAAATGGGTGGTGAAGCCTTCACCCAGAAGTCGATTGAACAAGGGCAAGATGATTTTTTTTAGTGTTCAGTTTAATTATGGTTATACTTACTTTCCTGTTGTTTATGCCATTTATCCACTCAGGCCTCTGAGTCTCAATGCCTTTAGAGGAGGGTCCTGCTACATTCCGTGCGGGATAATTGGCATCGATTCCCATGTTAATAACGGGTGTTTTGTCTTCCGTGTGGGAGAGAAACCGGAGTAGCCCAGAGAAGGCCCAACAATCATGCCTCTTCGTTGGCAGGGCATTGTATGAATTGTGACGTAGAAAAAAAAGCTCCAGCGGCCTTTGTGCAATATGCAAAAAAAAACATTGTCAGTTCCTGAAGAATTCGCAGTTCGGTTCTCTCGTCTTGGGTCACGATCTAATGGCAGGAACGGCGAGACGGAGACAAAATGTAGACCAGTCTCCTCCTTTGCCAGGACTCCTCAGCACGGTTGGCTGTTGTCTCTGCCGTCGGTCGGTCGCATTGGCTCAGGTTTATATTGATGGTGACCTACGACAAGATGACCACATTTGAATTATTCATGAACTGTAGATGTTTGTTGCTGTTGCTGCATAATGCACAAAGGCTGCCGAGTGCCTTTTTACACACGTGGCTCACACGTCGTTTTGAAACTCGTGGTTTCCCGGCCCGCACTAACTTTCTGTTATAATGATGATGATGGGGATTGTCTCGTCATTTACACATTTTGATTATTTCAATCATTGCGGTGGGCTGTGTTGTCGCATTCATTCCTCCTCAACCCCCGGGTCACAAAAATCGGAGGAGGTTCCAGCAGCGCATAACTCTCACGACGCACAAAGACAAAGATCCCCTGCATAGCCTGCAACAGATTGTTGGGGCAAGTGCCGTCGGTGAGCATCTATGAAGGCCGGCACGGCACACGAGCGGGTGGGTTGGCCAACACCGCGCCCGGCCGCCTTTGTCTCCCTCGTGGCGATATTTAAACACCGCACCAGGTACTCATTTGATGCCGAGTCGACTTAGTGGAGCCCCAGGACCGGTTCAGATAATCGTCACCGGTGTTGGCCGTGAGCGGGAATCGAACTCGGTTCGCCGGGTTCGTAGCGCGCTAGCCACTGCACCACCGCTCCCCACTCAGCACACCACCACCACGACGGGGGGCGGGATGGTTGTTGAGTGGCGGCGGCGGAGTGGGATGGGCTTGGGCATGGGCGGATCGGGTGCGATGATGAGAGCGAGAGAGAGGTGAGAGCCGAAGTCGAGTTGGAAGGGGGAATCTGAAAGTCGTGGGTTTCATGTGTAAGGGGTTTTGTGAGAGAGTGTCTCACAATTACCCCCTTCCCCAACTACCCTAACCCACCAGACCACACCACGGTTCCCCAAATTCTCAAACCAGTTCCCCCCCCCCACCCACCACCTAAGCCGCGTGAGCGTCCCTGGATGGTTACCAATTAAGCGGTGGTCACTTTGAGAGCGTCGTGAGCGGGAAGTGAAGACAAGCTCCCCGACCTTACTACCCCTACACCCGGTGAGTAGGAGATGTTTGCTGTGCGTGGCGAGTACGCGCATGGGGTGCAGTGTTTGTAGTGTGGGTGCGTGTACCGAGCTTATTGCGATGTGTATGTGTGTAGTTTGGTGAGCGTGTTTATATAATGTGTGTGTGTCTGTGTGTTTGTAGTGGGGAGCGGTAGTGTAGCGGTTAGCGCGCTGCGCTGCGAACCCGGCCACCCGAGTTCGATTCCCTCTCACGGCCAGCACCACTGACGATTATTTGAACCGATCTTGGACATCCCCTAGGTCGACTCGGCCTCAAATGAGTACCCGGTGCGGTGTGTAGTAAATATTGCCACTGGGGAGACAAAGGCGGTCGGGCATGGTCCTGGCCACCCATCCCCTCGTGTACCATTCCGATCATCATAGGTGCTCGCTAACAGCACTTGCCCCAACAGTCTGTTTTCGTGTGTGTCTGTGCGTATGTTGGTGTGCGTGCAGTGTGTGTGTAGGGGTGTCTGAGTGTATGTGGAATGCGTCTGGGTTGGATGAGGTGTGTGTGTTGTGTGAATCGTATGACTGTGTGTACCCTGTCTCGCCTTCACAGTATTGTGTGTATATATTGTGTGTGGTATATGTGTATACATCGGCCTATAGACACACTGTTTGCCTATAGGTATTGTGGGTTACATCATGCGTGGGCTCCGATCAATGACGATTATCAGTTATCTGAACCGATAAATAGAACATCAGCATTGGGAAGACAAAGGCGGCCGGGCGTCCACACACAAAAACCGGTTACCAGTTTGCCTCGTGGTGTAATGGTTTAGAGTACAGGACTTGCTTCCACCTCCCGTCACGGCAATTTGTAACGATGGGGGGGAAGGGAAGAGTAGGCGGAATACACCCTTCTCCACACAGTGGCGTGAGCCGGACGATTTGCGAGACTGCCAATAAAAATTGATTTTGAAAACGGTAATCGATTATCGAAACGGCAATATACAGTATAACGAAAACTATTCGATTCTGAAAACGGGCAATGAAATTGTTAATCGATTATGAAAACGATAGTCGGTTATGAAAACGGAAATACATTATGAAGACGGCAATCAATTATTAACAACGGTAATCGATTACGAAACCGCTTACCGGTTTTTGTGTAATGACCCATGCATGTCATGGTTACGTGTGTATCGGTAATAATGGTATAGGGCTGTATGTATATATACACACACGTGTATAGTAAGTAGTTCAGGTATGTGTATATAGGTAAGTGGGATAGGTGTGTATCTATAGTGCTATAGTGTATCGGTGTGTGTACATAGGTAAGTGGTATAGGTGTGTAGGGAATGTTGGTATAGGTTTGTATATAGGTGTGTATAGGTAATATTGGACTGGCATGGGTCTGTGCATATATAGGTAAAAGCCTGTATAGGTGTGTGTGTGTATAGGTGATAGTGGTCTAGGTGATAGTGGTATAGGTGTGTGTATATATGTGTGTGTGTAAGCGTGGTCTAGGTGTGTGTGTGTATATATAGGTACTAGTTGTCTAGGTGTGTGTGTATATGTGTGTGTGTGTAATAGTGGTATATGTGTGTGTGTATATATTTGTGTGTGTGTAATAGTGGTTTAGGTGTGTGTGTATATATAGGTACTAGTGGTCTAGGTGTGTGTGTATATGTGTGTGTGTAATAGTGGTATAGGTGTGTGTGTGTGTATATATGTGTGTGTGTAATAGTGGTATAGGTGTGTGTATATATTTGTGTGTGTAATAGTGGTTTAGGTGTCTGTGTGTATATAGGCACTAGTGGTCTAGGTGTGTGTATATGTGTGTGTGTAATAGTGGTATAGGCGTGTGTGTGTATATATTTGTGTGTGTGTAATAGTGGTTTAGGTGTGTGTGTATATATAGGTACTAGTGGTCTAGATGTGTGTGTGTGTATATATAGGAACTAGTGGTCTAGGTGTGTGTGTAAGTGGACTAGGTGTGTGCGAATGGTATTTGCTCCGGGCAGGTAAGCGCTGTTTGCGGTGTCATTGAGCAGCGGTTTGAGTTTTCCATCATCATCATCATCAGCTCAGGCTGCTGCTGCAGAGTGAAGGGCTAGGGAGGGGAAGGGCTAGGGTGGGATGAAGGAAGGGAAGGGGGTCACGGAGCAGTGGTGGTTAATTAACACACAACTGCAGACAGTGAGTGTTGTGGCCTAAACCTGAGTGAGTATGTGTGTGTGTGAGTGTAGCTTTAAGTGTGCTGCTGGCCACCCACCCACTCACTCCCTCGTGCGCTATGCTGGCCTTCATAGATGCTCGCTGACAACAACATGGCCCAATAGTCTGTTGATACTATACTGGGGATCTTTGTCTTATTGTATAGTCTTTGTGTGTGTGTATGTACGTGTGTGTGTATATATGTGTGTGTATGTGTGTGTGGGGAGCGGTAGTGTCGCGGTTAGCGCTACGCTGCGCTATGAACCTGGCGACCCGGGTTCGATTCCCGCTCACGGGCAACACCAGTGACGATTATCTGAACCGGTCCCGGGCCTCCCCTAGGTCGACTCAGCCTCAAATGAGTACCTGGTGTGGTGTGTAGTAAACATCGCGACTAGGGAGACAAAGGCGGTCGGGCGTGGTGCTGGCCACCCACCCCCTCGTGTACTGTTCCGCCTTCATAGGTGCTCGCTAGCAGCACTTGCCCCTACAGTCTGTTAAGGCTATACGGGGGATCTTTGTTTTTTTTATATCTTTGTATGTATCTTTAGGGTGCGGTAGTGTCGTGGTTAGCGCTACGCTGCGCTGTAACTCCATCCACCGGAGTTCGATGATCCCAATCGGTCCAGGGCCCTGCCCTAGGTCGACTCAGCCCCAAAATGGGTATCCTGGCTACGAGGTGTAAGCATCGCCACTTTAGGGAGACAAAGGCGGCCGGGCGTGGTGCTGCTAGCCACCCTCCCCCCCCCCCCCCCCCCCCCTTGCTCCCTCGTGCGCCGTGCCGGCCTTCAAAGGTGCTCGCTAACAGCGCTTATACCCCGACAATCTGTTCACAGACTATACGGGGTGGATCTTTGTCTCTGTGTGTCCCGTGTGTGTGTCTGTGTGGATTTGCAACTGCGTCTTCGTATGTGTCGGTGTGTGTGTCTGCGTGTCTTGAGTGTACCTGACTACATGTCGCGTTAGCCCCCCCCCCCCCAAACACAGCCGCTCCCTTCACGCTTTGTATCTCGGTCAGCATCTTTATTTGTTTATATAACGTACAGTAAGGGATCACAGTCTGCCTATTTTTTTAGTGGGCGGCTGTCAGGAACCCCCCCCCCCGCCCGCCAACTCGCTCACTTGTACCCACCCCGCTCACCTGTACCCACCCCTCTCACCTGTACTGGCTTCGCTCACCTACACTGACCCCGCTCACCTGTACCCACCCCGCTCACCTGTACTGGCCCCTCTCACCTGCACTGACCCTGCTCACCTGTACTGGCCCCTCTCACCTGTACTGGCTTCGCTCACCTGTACTGACCCCGCTCACCTGTACTGGCCCCTCTCACCTGCACTGGCCCCTCTCACCTGCACTGACCCCGCTCACCTGCACTGACCCCCCTCACCTGCACTGACCCTGCTCACCTGTACTGGCCCCTCTCACCTGCACTGACCCCGCTCACCTGCACTGACCCTGCTCACCTGTACTGGCCTCTGCTCACCTGTACTGACCTCGCTCACCTACACTGACCCCGCTCACCTGTACCCACCCCTCTCACCTGTACTGACCCCCGCTCACCTACATTGACCCCGCTCACCTGTACTGGCTCCGCTCACCTGTACTGGCTCCGCTCACCTACACTGACCTCGCTCACCTGTACTGACCCCCGCTCACCTACACTGACTTCGCTCACCTGTACTGACCCCCGCTCACCTACACTGACCCCGCTCACCTGCACTGGCTCCGCTCACCTACACTGACCCCGCTCACCTGTACTGACCCTTGCTCACCTACACTGACCCCGCTCACCTGCACTGGCTCCGCTCACCTACACTGACCCCGCTCACCTGTACTGACCCCTGCTCACCTACACTGACCTCGCTCACCTGCACTGACCCCGCTCACCTGTACTGGCCCCGCTCACCTGCACTGACCCTGCTCACCTGCACTGACCCTGCTCACCTGCACTGGCCCCTCTCACCTGTACTGACCCCGCTCACCTGTACTGGCCCCTCTCACCTGTACTGACCCCGCTCACCTGTACTGGTCCCGCTCACCTGTACTGGCCCCTCTCACCTGTACTGACCCAATTCACCTACACTGACCCTGCTCACCTGTACTGACCTCGCTCACCTGTACTGGCCCCTCTCAGCTGTACTGGCCACTGCTCACCTGCACTGACCCCGCTCACCTGTCAGATTTTTGACATGTACAGACCTATCTCCTGTACAGCTACCCACATCACTCTTGCAAATGAGTCTAACTTTGTCTCTTGAGTTCACACCTGGTTAAATAAACGCGACGTGTTTGATCTCACGTGTGCAGCTCACTCAGCTGTGTACAGACTTAACCCCTGTACAGATGCTACTCTGTATTGGTCACTCACCTGTATAGACGCATCTCTTGTATATCTCACTTACATGTACAGATCATTCCACTGTAATTCTCACTCACCAACACACCCTTGGTTACCACATACCATTCCACATGCACACAGGCGCGCGCACACACTCGCCCACAGGTATATCCAGGAGCATACGTTTGAACACATACACACATATGCATACACCTTGGCACACAGACAGGGACACGCATATGTAGGTACACACATGTGCACAACGGAGCAATTCACGCACACCGGCTTATACATCCAAACATAGGCAAGAGCATTCAGAGGCATACACTCACACAGGGCACATACAGGCACATATATACACACACACACCGAGGCAAACATAACACCAACAGCCGTTCGCCCCTAAGTGGTGTTGACGTCACTAAAGCGCTTGTGCCAGACTAGGTGTACATTGAGGTCATGTGCAGTGTCGAAAGCTTGCAAGCAGGAG